CAAGCATGAGGCATCAATTTTACCACCACAAAAGATATTCATAAGGAAACCTGGTAAAGATATCAGTAAAGAGCATACAGTGGTTCTTGGCCTGCCACCGCGTTTTGGCCAAGTCATGCCAGGAACGCTCGATATAAGGGAAAATGGAGTCCAACTGTCTGATCCATCTCGATAGGTTCTGAACCGCGCTGGGGTACCAAATGATTGTTGCATAATCAAAAGAAGATCATTTTTCAGAAGGGGATGAAAGGGCAATAAAATATGCTCGAGGTAGGGGCACTTACGGTTCATATTCCATTCCTCCGGGAATGACATCCTATTAGCCGGGATGATGTCCAAGGTCCTCACTCGGAAAAACCGACTCATCCACCCCCGATCCTTGTCCTCATCGATGCTCGAAAAGAATGGCCTCGCGAATCGAGGGTGAAGCTTGATCAAACCTCGGAAGAGACGAGGGCTGTATAATCTGACCAAGTGATTAAGGGTGAAGGTCATACCCTTGATCTGGTTGGAAAAGTATCAGAACATATAAATGATCCTCCAGAAAGAAGGATAGATTTGACCGAGTGTCACTCAGTACTCATGGTAGAAGTCGAGAATTACTGGATCTATTGACGGGGAAGAAGGATCCGAAGAATCTACGGGACCTAGAGCAAATGGGTATGTATACACACTAAGGAAGCCAGCTTTGTGGTCTACTATGCTTTCCTCAGAATTGGGGATCTCTACTAACACTGCCTCCTCCCATCGGTAGTCTTCATTCACTATGTTCGTATTGGTCACCACGCTGATGTATCGAGACACGTGCTCACATCGGCCTATTGTAAAAGGGGGATTTTCGATAGAAAAATCGGATACAATATCGAATTGGGTAGGAGTACATTGCTAGACAGTTAGGGTACTTTTGGTTAACCCCTTGATGCGCGAGATGAAGAAGCAGTGCCCTCTTTCTGAGGTACCATTCTAGAAAATTGAAGATGATGTAAACGTGTGAATAACAAAACGGTTGAGGTATTTATAGAAGCCATATGTGCAGCGTTAGGGAAGCGGAAAGGCCGAACCAATAGCGGTTCGTGGGCTTCTCGATAATCGTGTTGACAGCAACTCTTGCGCAGCCTTTGAGTCATGGCATTTAATGCTCTGATGGACTGACGTCATGATGGTAGTATCGAAGAGGCAAGAATTCAAAACTATTTCTTATCATTTTCATTCTAAGAAACACTGGGACTATCTGTATACGGTAAAAATTAGAGAGTCTGATTTTATGATCGTTATGGCACTTCATAGAGACCGCCCCCAAAAGGCTCGAGGCTCAGTCCGGGGTTTGACCCCGAGGATTCTCAATGATCGACCTCGAGGCAGTGTAAATCAATGGCTGTGATGGACAAACGGGAAGTTCCTAAGGCACATGATTAAAACTAACCAAGTCTATTAGGCTAGTTTAAGCCCGTACCGTGGCATTAAGTGGCTATACCAGCCTCAAATCCTTGTAATAAATGTGTTTGTACTACGTTGGGATTCCCCCTCATATATAAAGGGGACCCTTGTCATTTTGTATGATATTACACACAATACTCAATACAAGAACATCCTCTACTCTCTAACTTAAACATATTCTCCCTTGATTCTATTACTTACATTTATTGCTTACATTTATTGTGTTCCATTAATTGTTCTTCATTTATTACTCATTATTGATCATAAAGAGCTCAGATCAAAGCTCTTAGAATTGTTAGTCCTTCATCGGCCGTCCACAGCCTAACACTTAGCTCGACCTCGAGACCCCGTATAGGCCGACTCGAGGCCCCGATTCTCTACCTCCCAGTTTGCTTAACATACTGCCGTCAAGCTTTTATCTTATTTTTTTAGTCTCACACTTAGCATCTATTGCCTAACAACTAACATAAATAAATAAATCACGTATTTTTAGAATCACAAAATCAAATTTTATTGTAATTACCATTTTCAAGATAAACAGAGTTAAGAATCATTAGAGTTAAGAATCATTACCCAATAGCCTCCTCTAAAATTCCCCTAAATTATAGCATAAATTCGAGCTCTCAAAGTCCAAAAATGGAAATGGGATAAAAACCCTCGAACTTTGCCTTTTCTACCTAGCGATCTCGCTTCTGCGAGGGGGTTCACCGCTTCTGCGGTTCCGCACTTGCGGAAAAAATATCGCATGTGCGGACTTAACTTAAGTCCAAAATTCCAAGGTTTTCCACTTCCGCAATCCTCAAGTTTCAAGGACTTCCGCTTTTGCATTCCATCTTCCGCAGAATGACTCCGTTTCTGCGGTCCTAACCTCGAACCTGCGCCACAGGCCAAGCTTCTCCAAGCCGCACCTGCGCTCCTCTGCTGGCACGTACGAGTCCGCACCTGTGGTCAACCCCACAGCATGTGCGATTACACCAGAAGCTGTAATGGTTTAGCAACTCTTCCAACTCCCAATTATATTCGTTAACCATCCAAAATCAACCCGAGGCCCCTGGGACCTCAACCAAACGTACCAATAAATTCTAAAACATCATACGAACTTAGTCGAGCCTCCAAATCACATTAAACAACTCTAAAAATATGAATCACCCTCCAATTCAAACTTCTGCAACCGATGCCGAAACCTATCAAATCACGTTCGATTGACCTTAAATTTTTCACACAAGTCATATTTGACATTACTAACCTACTCCAACTTTCGGAATCGAAATCTGACCCCGATATCAAAAAGTCCACTTCTGGTCAAACTTCCCAAAAATTCAACTTTCTCCATTTCAAGCCTAATTCAGCTATAAACCTCCAAAACACAATCCAGACACGCTCCTAAGTCCAAAATCACCCAACAGAGTTAACATGACCGACAAAACTCCATTCTAGAGTCGTCTTCATATAGTTTCAACTATGGTCAAAATCCTAAAACTTAAGCTTTCATTTTAGGGACTAAGTGTCCCAAATCACTCCGAAACCACAAACAAAACCTCCCGACAAGTAACATAAGCAGAAAAAGATACGGGAAAAGCACTAAATAGAGGATCGGGGCTATTACTCTCAAAACGACCTGCCGGGTCGTTACAATAACAACAAAATATAATGATTAGCACCACATGCGCCCATATGCCACTACATTTCTTAAAAATAATTTCAACGCCATAACTACAGATAACCCCCGGCTCAACGGTACTGAGCACAAAAATAATAGTAATGACAACAACAACATAACACGAGCAAATGACGATTAAATCAACACAAGAATTACAACATAGTGAAACAGAAAATCGAACTCACAATGCAAGACATAACAAATAATAATAATAACTCAATAATAAGAGAGACAACATGTAACAAAAGTTTCACGTAAGGGTAGATTTAGCAAATAGAAAATTTTTACATGATAAAACAACTTCATCTCAATTAACAACATGAACGTAAATATAACTCAACAAAGAAACACATCTCCTTTTAACATAACTCCAAGTAAAATAATTCAATGTCGCTTGATAACTTAAATTCTCATTTAATTTTTTGCAAATTAAAATCAATAGTGAAAGTATTTCCACGAAAAGGCAACTTAACAATAAAAGTATCCACGAATTGATTTAAGTGGTAATAATTTCAAATAAATATATAAGAGCAAACTTGGCTAGAAAGAATGTACATGTAACTACAACTTCAAACAAAGCATATAAGAGTGGACATGGCGAATAAAGATACAATAATGTGCCAACAATTTCCAATTACATGTATAAAAGATGCCTTATATTTTAAACCGATAAAATTTTCACATATAAGCTCAAGTACGTACTCGTCACCTCGCGTACACGGCTTTCACATTTTACAAATAGCACAAACGACTCAATTCTTAAGGGGTAATTTTTCCGCACAAGATTAGGCAAGATACTTACCTTTACGAAGTTAGGTCGATACTCTAAAGTAGCCTTCTTTAGTGAAATGACTCCCGGACGACTCAAATCTAAATTTCGCCCCTTAACGATACTACTACGATCCGCCACACGAAGGAACTTCAATCTACAATATCAACATCCAATGGGACCAACATTAGTTATAATTTTCATTGTTTAGGCCATTTAGGCATTTTATCAAACACCTAAAGTGCATAAATTTCTACATCTCTTAACCATAAAATGAGTTCATCTAACTTATACCATCATTTACCAATAATTTATCCCACCATCATTCTCAACAATTTATAACTTTCAATCATCACATACGTGACCATTCATCCACACCCAACTAATAAAAATTCCATCAATTAATTACCTTTCAATCTCTACAAGGATTATGTATTTAAATTGGGAATTTATGGCTTCCAATCCATATCATGAGTTTCAATACTTAATTCATACTCATATTTCCGTAATAATTTCGTACATATAAGTCTAAGGGTGTATGATTACCATTTTGGAAGAAATTTAGCAAAACAAACAAACAAAATATTACGGAAAAAATAAAAAAAGACAAACAAAAATATGAAAGAAAAATAAAGAAAAAATGGAGAAAGACCTTTGGTGAAGCCTAGAGAATGGAGGGGGCATCCTACTATTAAAATCTTCAAAAGGGGCATGTTTTGTCTTTTTCAAAAAAGAAAAGCATTTTGATCATTAAATCTTTAAAATTGCTCTATCATTTTAACGATAAAATATGCCACTAGGCTCAGTACTATGAGTCTATGCCCAAGTAGTATTTGTTCACAAGGAATCATTTTTTTTCCAATTTTTCTATCGAAAAGAAAAAGAAAAGAAAAGATTTTTACCGTAAAGGCCATGCTTTCCTTTGACGTGCAGAGGATTTTGGATTGACTTTTAAGCTAGTCAAATTAGATTTTAAATTTCTTTTAGTGTTTCGTAAAATTAAAAAAATACTTAAAACAAATTAAAACTGCTTAAACAAACCAAAAATAATAAGCTAGGCAGCATCAATTAATTATTATTTTTGACTTAAAATCTATTTATGTGAAAATCAAGTCAATTCAAACGGGTCTTTTCGGTCTCACCCTGGGTGGCAAACCTATACTTGGACATAAGTCACCTTTTTCTTCCTGTTTTATCTGTTTTGCCGCTCTCCAATTTGATCTAGAGCTTTCACCTTTAAGGGTAAATTGATAATTGAGCTTCTTTCCTTCTTTCTGTATTTTTTCTGTTTACACATTATTTGTCCCTTTTGTACTAATTGTATTTTGATTTTGTTGCTTCTCAACTGTTGCTTCTACTGCTCTTTCAGGTGAGTTCCATTCGAATTTTCTTCTCCTAGTGCTTGGTTTATTGGCAAATTTTGCATATGTATTAGCTTTGCTCAACCGTATGAAGAAAAATCGTATCAGTTTTGGTCGCTGGTGCACCAAGGTTATTTGATAATATGCCTAAATCAACTGACCGTGCGGCAGTTGACTATGCCATCTAAAACTGAAACGTTTTTACACGGTTCTAGAGGAAAGGAATTGCAGACACTATAAACTTGAAGGAGAAACTTAAATACAGAAGGTTAAAGTAAAGAAAAAAGGTGTTGCCTAGTGGTCAATGAAGAGGAAGGAGAACATATGTCTCGAGTTCAAATTCTAGGGAAGGCAAAACATATTAGGTAATTTGTTCCCATCTGTTTAAGCCTTGATGGATGAAATGATACAGTATTGTTGGGAGGTAATAGGTATCAGGTGGAATAGTCGAGGCGTGCCTAAGTTGGCTCGGACATCACGGAGGCAAAAAACACTAGGCGATTTCTTTTTATCGGCCTAAGCCTTGGTCGGCATAGGTACCCGGTACTTGTGCTGGTGGGAGATAGAAGGTACGCTGTGGAATAATTGAGGGGGTGCAAGCTGGTCCATACACCAATCTCATAAAAAAAAGAGAAAAAGAAAAAACCATATCAGATTTTTTATATCACTTTACATGTATTAATAAACTCTAAATGATGTGGCTGCTAAGTATTTTACTTTAGCTTCCTCTGCGTTTGAGGTAAATTACAAGTTACATGATGTTTGGGCTCATGCTATAGGTGATACTGGATATGTCCTCTTTGCTTTTCTAATGATAAAAGTACTTCTGTAATATATACATGATGTTGCTTTCTCATTCTTATCTGAATGCAAATTTTCAATGTTTAAACATAACCACCATTGTTCCGATCCATTACTTAACGTATGATGAGGTTGATGAAATGGAATAGACCTTGCAAATGGGGCAAGCTTGCCTTAACTATGTTTAAAATCTTGAATTTGTTGACAGTATAGGCTGGCTTTATCTTGATATCTGTCCTCTGGAATTGAAAGTTACCACATCAACTCAGGGCCAATGTAATTTTCCTGGTCCTTAAATTAATAGGTATCATGTTGTTATTTTTGTCTTTACTGGAGTGCCTGGTCTAATTTGAAATGCGATATACTTCTGCCTCAAGCCTTTATAGTGTTAACCATAGCTAGTACATACATATATGTACAGTATATGAATTATTTTGAAATTTATTTATTTTTAAACCATTTGTTACTTTGTCTTAATACTTGTTGTGGATTGAAGATGAACGTTGTAGGTTGAAGTTAAAAAGATTTCATTTGAGACATAATTTGCTGGTCAGACTCTATTTGTTGATGGCAGCAATTAGGTTTTCAACTTTGGCAAGAAACCTCAGTTCCTCTTTAAGAGTAGCTAATCAGATTGATGTCAGACCTTCATTCGCTTGTGTAAATAGTAACCACTACGCTAGAGAACCCACTTATTCCAAAAGTTATGCTGCCCCCAAATGTTTCGATATGAGGGGTATACACTCTGCTTGTGGGCCCAGTCAGGTTACTCCATATAGTAGGGGGCTATTTGATAATAAAAGTTTGAGGGGAAGTATCTCAATTGTTCGGACTAGCCCCGTATGGAATAGTCGATGGTATTCATCATCTGTTAATAGTAAAGGAGATATTCTTAAGGGTTCAGAGGTTTCAGCTGGTGCAACTGGGTCTGATATGGATACAAGTGGTGTTGGTGGAAGTGAATGGATCGGTAAGGTTAAGGAAGCTTGGCAAACAACCATAGATGCTGTGACTTATACCGGGGAAAAGGCGAAAGAGGCATCTTCTGAAATGACTCCTTATGTTGAACAAGTGCTTGATGCACACCCTTATTTGAGAGATGTAATTGTTCCAGTTGGTGGCACTTTAATTGGTACCTTGATGGCTTGGATCGTGATGCCAAGGCTTTTGAGGAGATTTCACAAGTACTCAATGCAAGGCCCAGCTGCTTTGCTGCCTGGAAGCTCAATATGGGGGCAGGTTCCTTATGAGAAAAGTATTTGGGGTGCTATGGAGGACCCCGTTCGATATTTGATCACCTTCATGGCATTTTCACAGATGTTAGTAATACGTTTCTTACTTGTTCTTTTTCACATATTAGCTTTCGGTTTGATGTTCTATCAGTTGTCTTTATCGTTGATTTATATCTGTGTGCAGCGCGGTGATGGTGGCACCAAGCACTGTTGCATCGCAATACCTTCTTCAGACTTGGAGAGGTGCTGCTATTCTTTCATTTGTCTGGTTTCTACAGCGATGGAAAACAAATGTGATAAGTAGAGCTTTGGTTGTCAAGAGCCTTGAAAAAGGTGACCGTGATCGGTTGTTAACTTTGGACCGAATCTCTTCCGTTGGCCTCTTCATCCTTGGGCTAATGACTTTAGCTGAAGTTTGTGGAGTAGCCGTACAATCTATTCTGACTGTTGGTGGAATTGGAGGTGAGTTTTCTTCGCTTGATTCCCACCTGCCTTGTTCTGTGAGCGAGAAAAACAAAAGATCAGCTTAGTGTGCTAAATATTGGATCTTATATTTGAGGAATGGTGTGTGCAATAGATCATTTGTTGCAAATGGATTTTTCCAGTTACTAATTAACCATGGAATCTTACTAATGTAAAATCTTTAAGCCAGTGTTTTGGATAGCGTGAGGCGACAAATAGCGACGAGGGCCCGCTTCACTGAGGCGAGAGGCGCGCAGCGAAGCGCTCGCCTTTTTGATGTAAAGCGGCAATTTATACAAAAACATAAAATATTATATACATTTAACTAAAAACTCAATAACAATAATATATTACTCCCTCCGTTTCATATTATATGAGGTAGTTTGACTTGGCACGGAGTTTAAGAAAAAAGGAGAAGACTTTTGAAAATTGTGGTCTTAAAAGCTTAAGGGGTAAAAAGTTTGTGGGGCCATGACATTTGTGTGGCTATAAAAGCTTCTCATTAAGGGTAAATGGGTAAAATGAAAGAGTTTAAAGTTGAATTATTTCCAAATTTAGAAATGTGTCATTTATTTTGGAACAGACTTAAAAGGAAAGTACCTCATTTAATATGAAACGGAAGGAGTAATAAATATATCATTCAAAAATTAAAGACTCAATAGATAGTCATAGACTCATAGTAGATTCATAAATTAAAGACTAATAGTCTAAACTCTAAAACAAGCAACATCTATTCTTCTTCAAGATTTTCAAATTCTACAACTTCATGAATGTTAACATTATATTAGCTATCATCTTCTTCATCCTCGGACTCTTCATCAATTAGGGACTGGCTTGAACTTGCTACCCTCTTTCCCTTATAACTTGAAGAACTCGTTCTAAGTCCATAGATATTCTCCTCAACTCCAACGGCCATAGAAACAGTACCCCAATCAAGATCATCTCCTTCATACACTAGTTCATCTTCATGATTTTGGGGGGCTCCAGTTAACCATTCATTTGCCTCGTCAATGTTGTCCAACATAATTGGATCAATGGTATCACGAGCTTCATAACGTCGCCTCAATGTTCTATTGTATTTAATATACACTAGATCATTGAGACGCGATAGCTCAAGCCTATTCCTTTTCTTGGAGTGAATCTGCGCATAAGTTATTTAGATTAATTAATAGATACTAATAATAATACAACATAGAATATATTAATATAATAAATCTACTTCTTACATGCTCAAATACGCTTCAATTTCTCGCACATCCAGATGCACTACAAGTTAGGCTTAATACTTTGATGGCAAACTTTTGCAAGTTTGGAGTTTGATGTCCAAATTGCTTCAACCATTCCACTATAAAAAAATATTTTAAAAGTTAATAAGTATAAATCAAATAAATTAAATTAAGGTTATAAGGATATCTATATTAAAGTTAGTTACCTGGCAACCTTATGTATCTGGCTCTAATGGCAGCCGGTAAACCAAATAGGCCCTTTGCTTGTGAGTACTTACCAAACTCCTCCCCTATTTGATCTATCATCACTGAATTAGGGATCAATTTCTCAAGACATGCATGGTATCCAATCCACACCTCTGAATCCAAAGTTTCATCTCTAGTGTTCTTGTAAAATAATCCCGGGTTCAGAAGATGGCCTGCTGCATGCAAAGGTCGATGGAGTTGATTGTTCCACCTGGTATCAATTATCTCAAAAACTTTCTCATATTTCCTAACATCTTCCCTCAAATGACGCTGCAATACTCTCTTTGGCTCTATCCATTGCTTCATAAAGATAGCCCATTGGTGGTTTTTTCTCCCCATCCACCATACGAAGCACCCTAATCAAAGGACCACCAACTTTAAGAGCCCGAACGACATCATTCCAGAATGATGGAGAAATAAGAACTTTGGCAGTTTCTTTACCCGCAACTTCCTTTGCATATTTATTATCTTTCCATTCAGTCGAAAGAACTAGCTTTCTCAAATTTTTCTTTTGCAAGTAAAAACTATGCAAAGTTAAGAAAGCCGTTGCAAATCTAGTCTTGGTCGGTCTCACCAAATTTCTTTCATTTGTGAATTTCCTTATCAAATTCAACAACGGCCTCTGACTGATGTAAGCATATACCTTGACGGCCTTAGTGAAAACTGTAAAAGTAACAATAACAATTTTATAGTTAATACTTAATAGGATAGGACATAAGTATAAATAAAGTTAAAGGCTTTAAAGATAACTATATTAAAGTTACCTTTAGCATATGGGTTTTCCTTGAATATGTCACCAAACATCAAGTTGATACAATGAGCAGCACATGGAGTCCAATAAATGTTTGGATAGATAGCTTCCATCATCTTCCCCGCACCAGTGTTTTGGATAGCGTGCAACGACAAATAGCGATGAGGGCCCGCTTCACTAAGGCGAGAGGCGCGCAGCGAAGCGCTCGCTTTTTTGATGTGAAGCGACAATTTATACAAAAACATAAAATATTATATATATATATATATCTAAAAACTCAATAACAATAATACATTAATAAATATATCAATTCAATATGCAATTAATTCTACTCTATAACTGAAAAAGGAGGAAATTTCAGGTTTGAAGTTTTGAAGTTCTTTGCTTCTGCTTCTGCCCAACAGTGAAAGAATTGAAAAAAACAGAGCAAAAACAATAGCAATAACATGGTGTAATACTACTGCTCAATAAAAAACAGAGCAACAAAAAAAGAAAGAAGAGAAGATAGAAAGAAGATCAGAAGAAGAAGAAGAAAAACGAAAAAAAATAGAGCATAAATAGACTCTCTTCTGTTTTTTGCTGCACTGTTGCTCGATAAAAAATAGAGCAAAAAAAGATAGAAAGAAGAAGAGAAGATCAGAAGAACAAGAAAAACGAAAAAAAACAGAGCAACAGACTCTCTGTTCCGCACTGTTGCTCGACAAAAAACAGAGCAAAAAAATAGAAAGAAGAAGAGAAGAAGAAGGAAAAGGGAGAAATAAGAAAGAAGAAGGAAGAAGAAGAGAGGCATACCTGGACTGGGTCGACATGGATGAAGAAGAGGATGGCAGAAACTTGAAGCTTTCAGGTCAAAATTGTCTACTATGGCTGCTCTGTTGTTTAAAGGTCGAAGAAGAAAGAAAGTGAATTCGCTGCAAGCCCTAATGTTTTAAGTCGCTGGTCTTTGCGCCTTTTTCTTTCTATTTTTTCAAAAAGCGAAGCTACAGCTCGCCTGTCGCTACACAGGCAGAGGCGCTCGCCTTTTATAATCGCAACGCAACAGAGCCAAAATAGCGCAGGCTGCTCGCATCGCCTCGCCTCACGCTATTAGCGTTGAGGCGAGCGCTATTTATAACACTGTGACAATCATTTTATTTTTTCTAGAAACAAATAGTTGGGTTCAAATATTACCCAATAAATTTTGTGTACTAACTACATCTACAATTTGGGGTCTCCTTATGATTTCTGTATTTTTCGATTTGAGTTCCAATATGAATAAGATGAAATTCATATTAGGTACTTGAGCAAATAAAATTTGTTCTTTAAGACCATGAAAACAATAGTATTGTTGCATGATATTTAAATATAAGTCAAAAGAAAATGCACGACTCATATATCGAAGTTATAATATTGCATTAGAATACTTTTGTGTGACATAGTTTTTCACTTTCTTAAGTTGGCTAAATAGGATCGATATTAATCATTTTCAAGAGCTTATATTTTAGTAAAATTTTATATTATAATTAAATCACATAGTTTAATATTATTTGTGTGTTTTTTAAAATTTTATACTCATTGAGAAAAGTATACGCGCAATGCGCGTATCCTAAAACTAGTATAATATAATTATATAAAATACTTGAATGCTTTGCTATTATGCGAGATATCTTATGAAAAATTTTTTAGTAGATGTTATAAAAATTAAATTTTATTTATCTTAGTTCAATAACTTTAATTAATGAAGTATATACTTTATATGTCATAATATACATTTATTGTTTGTATCTTGGCACTTGTATCCGCACTCAGATCCATACCTCCAAATTCTAAATTTTATGTGATAAAGAATCCGACCTCTGGATTTGCACCGGTATCTGATACCCGCATCTGAGTCCAAGCAACATAGCTCCCAAGAGTAGGAATGGGACCAAAAAATGTGATTTAAAACAGAGGACAGGTTTGCTTATTGGCGGACATGTGAAAATGTGCATAAATTTTCAAATCATTGTATCCAGGAAAAATGTTGGGTCCTGGAGGGCCATAAGGAGTCATAGATAATTACCAGACCCATCCAGTTAAGGCCACCCACTTTAGTTTATCTTACCCAATTTTCTACTTATCCCCCGAAAAGAAAACATTAATACTGTAGTGATTAGGGTACTAAATAAGTTTCCATGTTATGAGGTATAAATACTTCTACATTATAGTAGCAATCATGTCAACAATGATATTGATAGATAACATATTAGTTTATGGTGGTATATATGTATGAAAATGCTATGTGGGCAATGATTAACTGGAAAACTATAAAATTATTGTACTTATTATCACTTGTTTATGTTCCAACTCGCTCTTCATTTTTGCCATTTATAAATAATGCAGGGGTGGCTACTGCTTTTGCTGCTAGAGACATCCTTGGTAATGTTCTCAGTGGACTCTCCGTACAGCTATCACAACCTTTTTCAGTTGGCGACACGATAAAAGTATGTCAAAAGTTTTCTTAATCGTTATCAACATTTATCTTTTTGTTTTGTTTTATTGCGAGTATCTAAGGAGTTGGAACAATTTATGCAAAGATTAGAAGTACATGGCAAGCCTTTATTCAGTATATAACAGCTATCATTGATTGTTTAGTGTAAGACATAATGGTGGATAATGAAAATACAATGTGAAGGCCAACTAGACGCACACTTTTTTTTGGGGTCCATAACTTAACACACACTGTATATCAACAATTTATTCAAGTTCTAGAGATGCATCTATTGGCATGATGTCGTAATAAGGAGGAGGTAGTTAAAGCGAAAGGAAGAACAACAACAAAAACAACAATAAACCCAGTTTGATCCCAACAAGTGGGGTCTGGGGAGGGTAGTTTGTATGCAGATCTTACCCCTACCTAATGCAGGTAGAGAGGCTGTTTCCAATAGACCCTCGGCTCAGGAAGGGCAAGAAGAAGAAGAGGAAAGCAAGGAAGGAAGGAAGAAAGAAGGAAGAGAAAAGAAAAAGGGAGAGATAAAGGATAAGTAGTATATGAAGTGCTAAGTAAATGAAGACTTGCGGTGTTGAACGTGATCCTAACGGAGTTGAGTGGAAAAGCGGAAATCTTGAATCCATCCCTAGTTGGCAGAATTAGTGTTTAGTTGAGTGATATATTCTAATATATATGCGGTATTGCAAGTCAGGTCAGCTCCACTATAAGTATTCTTGTGTAGCAACATTCGCACGGATAGACTGTGCTGAGGACTTAAGCTTATGCTGGCAAGATTGTTGAGGTAGGCAAGGGAGTAATACATTTATGTCTCAGGTTTCAAACTCAATCCTGCTCACTATCTGAACTTGAATGAATAATTACCGGTCTAGTTCTGATGTATATGTGCGTCAAAAAGCAATTAGTAGGACAGATGGACCCACAAAAAGTGATTAATCATGATAACTAGAAGATAAGAGAAGAAAAGTAAGATTTAATTATGACTGGAAGTTAATTACAAAAACAAATAATTATGACTGGAAAGCTGGTTTAACAATAAAATGATATCTAACTAAGAATAAAAAGAATACTTGCGCAACAACAATTATAATTGAGTTCCCAATGAATAGATCTACCAGAAGTCAGAACCCAACTCCTGTTTTTCTGACAACATCTGACATTTAATCAATTCCATGGGTTGTTTAAGTTTTAACAGCTACCTACTTTTGCAGGCTGGATCAGTGGAAGGTCAAGTGGTTGAAATGGGGCTCACCACCACATCATTGTTGACTGCAGAAAAGTTTCCCGTTATTGTCCCAAATTCACTATTTTCCAGCCAGGTAGGTTATCTTAGTTATTTGATGCTCTACTACTTTGCTTCATTCCTTGGGGAGGCTATAATTTTGAGAGACCTTTTACTTTAGATCTCTACCCAATTTAACTTGCATGGTTGTGAACAAGGGCGTATCTATGTAAAACCAAGGGGGTTCAATTGAAGAATCCCCTTCATCTGAAAATTATATTGCGCAAGCAAAAACAAGTTTATTTGCTTATATAAACTGCAGAATCCCCTTGACATAAAGGAAGATACTATTGTAGTGGCAAAGGGGGTTCAAAAATTGCTTTTAGTCTTACGTTCAATTCCCAAGTATATCTGAAACTTTGCCGGCCGTGCTGGATCATGTGTCAATTAGATCTTATAGGTTATTTGCTCAGCAGGATACCTTCTTATTATTGAAGGCAGCTTCCACTTCTTAACTTCTATCGAACCAGTGTGTCAGATACTTCCAGATATCCAGAATCTTGGTATTGTGACTAGTGTTGCTTAGTGGCGAATCTGCTCAAAACATGTCTTAGTGTTACTGTGTCTATATGCATACTTCTTTTATGCGGCTGGATACTTCAATGGATCACTTAAGAGAGAGCTTTCTACAATTCTTTTGTAAAGGAGCTGAATATAATTCATTTCTCTATCTTGTGTGAAAGTGAAAAATAATCATATAGATTCTTAATTTATGGATCTCTAACACCTTCAGTTTTTTTGGCTCTGATAGTTCTTACTTTGTTGAAGTTTCCTCCCTCTCTCTCCCGTTTGGGCCCTAAAAAATTAAAAGTAAAGAAACGGAAGCAACAGAAAAGGAGGAGAATTTGACAGACTGTTTTGTGCAAATTTCAGGTGATTGTGAATAAATCACGTGCTCAATGGCGTGCTTTGGTCACTACAGTTCCTTTCCAAATTGAAGAATTCGATAAGATTCTCCAGATTTCAGATGATGTAAAAAACATGCTCAGATCTAATCCAAGTGTTTTCTTGGAAAAAGAGGCACCATACTGCTACTTGTCTAAAATAGAAAAAACATATGCAGAGCTGACTCTTGGGTGCAACTTAAGATATGCGGTATGCCTTCTCTGTTTCGGTCTTTCCTAATGGAATTCATTTGATATTTGTTGCTCGAGTTTCATGTCTACTTTAAATACTAGCACAATATTTATCAATTTATCTAGTGTTCAATGCTGAAATATGAGATAACTTTCTTTCAACTATTTTATAATAGTCATGTAATACTTGAACGATTTGCATATGAGGAAGAAGGATTTGCATATGGTGTTTATTGACCTTGAGAAAGCATACGATAAAGTACCGAGGGAGGTCCTGTGGAAGTGTTTGGAGGTCAGTGGCGTTCCGGTAGCGTACATTAGGGTAATTAAGGATATGTTTAATGATGCTAAGACTCGGGTGAGGACTGTGGGGGGTGACTCGGAGCATTTCCTTGTGGTGATGGGGTTGCACCAGGGATCGGCTCTTAGCCCATTTTTATTTTCCTTGGCGATGGATGTACTGTCGCGACACATCCAAGGGGAGGTGCCTTGGTGCATGCTATTTGCCGATGACATAGTGTTGATTGAGAGACGCGTAGCGGAGTTAACGTGAGGTTGGAGGTTTGGAAACAGACCTTGAAGTCTAAAGGTTTCAAACTGAGTAGAACCAAGACAGAATACTTGGTGTGCAAATTCAGTGACGGGACCTATGATGCAGATGTAGAGGTTAAGCTTGATGCTCAAGTTATCCCCAAGAGAGCGAGTTTTAAGTATCTCGGGTCTATCATCCAGGGTAACGGGGAGATTGACGAAGATGTCGCACATCGCATCGGAGCGGGATGGATGAAGTGGAGGCTCGCTTCCAATGTTTTGTGTGATAGGAATGTGCCGCTAAGACTTAAGGGTAAGTTTTATCAAGTGGTGGTTCGACCGGCTATGCTGTATGGGGTTGAGTGTTGACCAGTCAAGAACTCCCACCTGCAGAAGATGAGAATAGCAGAGATGAGGATGTTGAGATGGATGTGTGGGTGTACCAGGAGAGATAGGATTAAGAATGAAACTATCCGGGATAGAGTGGGAGTAGCCTCCGTGGAGAACAAGATGCGGGAGTCGAGGCTGAGATAGTTCGGACATGTTAAGAGAAGAAGCATTGATGCTCCTGTCAGGAGGCGTGAGAGGTTGGCCATGGAGAGTTTGAGAAGAGGTCGAGGTAGGCCTAAGAAGTACTGGGGAGAGGTGATTAGACACGACATGGCGCTGCTTCAGTTTACTAAGGACATGACCCTTGATAGGAGGGTGTGGAGGTCGAGGATTAAGGTAGAAGGTTAGTAGGTAGTTTGTAGTTGTTCACCGATAGTCTTAGTAGCATGCATGTCCCTTCATATTCTTAGATTTCTATTAGGTTAGGTGGTTGTGTTCGCCTCAGGTATTGTATTCCCTGCTCCTATTATTTGGTACTACTTATCCCTTATCCCCCCCTTTCTTTTCTCTTCCTTCCTTGCTTTCCACTTCTTCTTCTTGTCCTTCCTGAGCCGAGGGTCTATTGGAAACAGCCTCTCTACCTGCATTAGGTAGGGGTAAGGTCGGCGTACAGACTACCCTCCCCAGACCCCACCTGTTGGGATCAAACTGGGTTTGTTGTTGTTGTTCTTTTCATGTAATACTTGAACGACACTCAGAGCTTGATAATATCTGTTCAAGTGTATAGATCCTTAAACTTCTGATAGCAAGTGTTCTCCTTCAAATTTTGATTGGAGCAAGTTCAGTTATGGCGGTGTCTGCCAAAACCTAGATAGACCCGCATGATCCCCTCTAAAGAGAAAAAACAAAAATAACGAAAATAAAAGGAAATTTAATGGATAAACAAGTTGAAAATATAGGTAGAATAGAGACAATCATTGATAGATAGTAAGGATTTCTGAGGACAAAGTGATCATGGTAGACTCGAAGAACTGATTTAGGTTACACTGCCTTTGTATTTCCTTGTTATTCCAAACCAGAGCCCTATCTGGCACCTCAATGTTTGATCACATGACATAAAAAAAGGAACAAAAGCCATTTCTTTTTCTAAGGTCTGCCTTTGATTTCTGTAATTGATACACAACAAAATGTTTGGAACAAATGCTGACATGATACTTGCCATTGAATCTTTAAGTTGTTCTGTTTTCTGTGTATCTTGACGATTTCCATGTGTAATTATTTCACTGATCAGTTTCCATTGAATTGTATGTTTTATTCGCTGTGTATCTGAGGATTTCATGTGCAATTATATCACTGATCAGCTTATGCTTCCAATGTTTCCCTTCGGTCAGCTGCTCATGGATCTTGTTTATGGGTTTCACTTTATTCATCTAATAATTGTCTTTTATGAATATAGAGCAAGGACAAATTGTTTTCAACACAGCAGGATATTCTTCTGCAAGCAGCCCGAATAATTAAGCAACATGGGGGCAAACTGGCTGATCCATGGACTCAGTGATTCGCTAGATAGAAGATGTCTTGCCTTTGAGGTTAGATATTTCTTGATTATGTCTTTTGCATATACTCAACACAATGTACAGTTTTGAGGAATGTGTACAGTTCTGAGGAATGAGTGACGCCGTAGCTTGTGAATATCTTATGCAAGCTTGTGCTGTTTGGCCAAAAAGGGGCGATCATGTAATATTTTGATAGTGCATCTTAAACATTATAGGAGCTATCAACTCTTACACTTCCGTGAAAATAAATCCTTGATACTTTAGAAAGGCAGTTCAGCTAGTTGATAGATATTGAACTGGGTGAAACAATTTCTTCAATTTAGCATAGAATATAGGCACATGTTTTAAAATATAACTGGTGCATCCTAAAAAACTGAATATTCTTACCTACCTCACTGTCAAGGATTGCATGGGGGTAAGGATGGTAAAAAAAGGTTAAGAAAAGGAAATGCATAATCTGTGTGATACGTACTTGGGAATTGCTGAGCAGCTGGCAATACAGTTGTAGATTAAGATTGGAGATTGACATGCATTGACACATAGAAATCGTTTGTGCTTTGCTGGTTGATGACTAAACCTTTATCTCACCATTACTTTTCGAATATTCAACAAAAGTTTTTGATGTAGAGAGTTATAAAGCGTCTGGTCCCCAAAATTGGCTGCAGCCTTTCTTGCTCAAGCTCTAAGCTCTTCCCCTTCCTCTGAGACCATTGCTTCTTAATGACATTGCGATTTCATTTCCATTAAAAGATCCATCTTCTTTGTTCCTCTTCTCTTTAATGGTTACTCCTTTTTCTATTAGCAATCTTGCATTCAATCCTTGGTCAAAGCAAAGAGCAACACCACAAGAACATGACCGTGCTTCAAAGTTTCAATGGCTGAACCAAATTCTGCACGTAAGAGGGATCCTCCAATAGATAAATGTTCTATAATTTCCGTCTGCGGTGCCCAGCCAATGTGCACCAACCCTCTCCCTTTCATTATCAAAGCCTGATGGTAAAGCATCAATGTCGTTCAAAGCGTTCTGGGCTTCTGTAGCATCCACAGAAATGGCAGTCCAAAGAGTTGAACTCTGTTTGCTATTTCATATAGTTGATTCTTGGTAACTTTACATTCAGTGCCGAAGCCCACAAACACAGAATATTTTGGCTTCTGTTCATCGAGCCATTTTGGAGAGCTTAATCCAATGTGGCTGACAAGCAAGATTTCTTTCATCTGCTGGTAATTCTTCGGGCGGTAGCAATCCAAGGGGAATCAGTGGCTTTCTGTTGACTTTTTATGTCTCTAAGTAATCACTTTATAATTCAGCGCAAGTACGTATAGCCACAGCTCTACATGTGTCTTCTGCTATGGCATCATGTCCCAGTAAAGCTCGGGGCGAACCGTTCTCTCCATATACGGCATATATTAGTTCTAGAGCCTCATGTTTTCGTTATGCAACTATCAATGGGAAATCCACTGATGGTGGCTGTGATGTCAAAAGTTCATGTATTGGCTTTGATCTTGAACCCTATCTGGGACAGCTCTGGGGTTTGGGGCCCCGGAGAAGACCTGTGAAGCAGCAAAGAAGACTGAATTTAATGAGGGGCATGTCAAGTTCCTGAGCAATATCAGCCACCCAGTGGGAATGAATTCAGCAATGACCCAATCACATCTTTATCAGCAATGAAGCGTATGACGGGTTCTTGAGGGAGATCATAAGCTTGCTTCAACTCTATCAGAAGGAAGTCCAAAGTTGACTCAGCATCTTTTGGCAAAAGACTCCTAATATGAAGTGATGGTAGTGGAAACTGCACTACGTTATTAGTGGTGCTAAGTTAGGAGGAAGTTTAGGAAGTCTCGTAATGTTCTTGGGAGTGGATAAGAAAGAAACCTGAACTCCTCCTTTGGCTAAGATTACGGTGATTTGAAAAAATGGGTTCAGGTGACCAAATGCTAACATGGCACCATTACAATGTGAATATTATCTCCGCTCATGTTCTTTTTCTTTTGCTGCTTTATTAGTCTCTGCGGAGTCAAACTTTTTGCTTTATGTTTGTCTGTATTGCGTGGTAAGGGATAAACATCCCTTTATATAGGGAAAAGTTCAGGCATGATGCAGCTGTAAGAAGTGTACATGCTAGCTGCTGTCAAAGGGATGTGAGACCACGCCAAATTAATATGGCTAAAGCACATAGCTACTTTTATCTTTTTTGAAAAAAAAATCCTTTACTTTGATGATGGCCGCAACAAAATATAGCCCTGAAAAGTCAATGTTGTAAGTAAAGGTTATAATTTCTCGTCTAAGTACTGCTTTTTAAGCAGTTTGGACTGTATTCTTCATGCTTGTTCATTTATTTTCTGACATGTTTTCATTAAATTGGGTATTGCTAACTTTTTGCAGGGACCTGGAGGAAGGATGGGGTTCGGTGGTTCGGTCGTGGAGGTGGAGATTTGGTGCTAGTTCCAGTGGGAGTTTTGCTTGAAATTGTTGATTTTATCATAGGATTTTAGTATTTTACTGTTGAGCTATTGTTATGGCAGTACCTGAATATGGTAAATACTACTATTGGCTATGTTCTGTTGTAGGATTTCGCTGTTGAACTTTGTCCGCAATCACGAGCTTGATGACGGCTTTTTAAGCTGAGAAAAAGTGTGGGCTTTCGTGTGGTAAATGGATGGCTGTCGCATGTAAACTGAAGCCATTTAACAATTAAGACTTTTCAGAGCTATCGCCTCCCCCTGAGCCGTAGCGAAAGCGAGTCTTCATAGGAAAATTGTCAATGCTTATGGACCCAAACTTGGGTGATCCATCCATGACGAGGATGAAGTTGGTGATAATATGTAGATAAGATCTTAAGGTAATTCAAATATTGTGCATTTACCCTTTTGAATTTTTGAAATTGGATTATGCTTTATTGACTTATTTCATATCTTGGTTTGTGCTTAAAAAGTCGATGGGATTTACTCTTCTTTTTTATGCACGTCGCCTTTATGGCATTTGGCCATTTCTCCCGCCATAATGCTTTTATTAACACTTGGTAGCTTTTCTGATCCACCAGTTTAGTAGGTGGCTGGAACAGCCTTTCAACCACTAGATCTTGTGTTTCCTCGTGGGTGAAACTAAGTATAAAGGTATGTCACAACCCCAAATTCCCTGCTTAGGATGTCGTGATGGCCCTAACACATATTGAGTTATTAACAGACTTAAACCAATTAACCATTAAATATGAACCAGTAATTGCTATACATAGCCAACAATCATCAGTAGATATACAATATCCTAAAACCGATAGTACGAAGTCATAAGCTTTTTTAAGAGTAGCTAAGAAAATCAAATACATCTCTGCTTAGAATAGTAGTAAACAGTAACAAAGTGAAGCATCCAGGAGGTGACTCCGAGGCTTACGGGCGTAGTGGCAGGTATATCTTGAAGTCTCCGTAGCAAATCTCCAACAACTAACTAATGACCGGCACGCTTAGGGGTACCTGGATCTGCACAAAAGATGTGCAAAAGCGTAGCATGAGTACACCATCGTAGTACTCGGTAAGTATCAAGACTAACCCCTGGTGGAGTAGTGACGCGGTACAGTCATAATACCTAGTAGACATAATAACATGTGCAAGTATTAATATAAAGCTAACCGAGAAGCAAATATCAATATACAGCTAAACATGGAAAGAATAACGATATAAAACTGGCAAATGGAAAGTAGAAGCAACGAATAGCAATAAGGGGTAAACAAGTGATAATGCCACAAAGTATTCAGAACACAGTTAAAGTACCAGTGAAACCAAATAAGGAACACAAATGACAACCAAATAGTCAACCGTTCATACACAAGGTTTACACAAGAATCACCTCGAGGTACCACACTTCATAATCACAAATCAAGGGTCCCCAAATCACGAATCATAATCACATGACATCTTGTGCCCACATTACCAGTCACAACAGCATAGACGACTCACGTGCTGCGTGGATAACTCATGTGCCAATACCATTAATACCTCAGATTTGTACGGACAACTCACGTGCCAATAGTAACAATGCCTCATATCTGCACGGACAACTTATGTGCCACCACTAAACTCATGTGCCAATAGTAACAATACCTCATATCTGCACGAACAACTCACGTGCCATCGTCCAATCCACGCACAAAAGGCAAGTATACAAGAATACATGTACATGATCAATAAACATCAAGATTCATACTCCTGGACTGATGTAGATGACATGTTACGGTGTATGCTTGCGCAAGTGTACTATCACAGCTCAAGTCAACAGGTAAAATCAGAGACACCGAGTAGCACATTGGAAACAACACAACAAAACTCGTAATATGCATGACAGACACAAGAAAGTCACACCACCACACAAAATATCAATAATAACAATGCCCCCATGCCATCACAATTTATCCCCGACATAGCCCACCTTGTCTCGCCGGTGTGCAACAATAAAGTAAATGCCCGCTTTATCCCGCCACACGCGCATCAATAATATCCCGCATTGTCTCGCTACATACGCAAACCCAACATATATATAGCCTGCTTTGTCTCACCGCATGTGCAAATATCAATGATAACAAAGTGCGGACAACTCACGTGCAAACACCCCGACAATCCTCTCAGCAGTCCCACATGTGCCAAAAACATCACAACACAATATAACGACTCGCACCACATGTGCCCATCTGCCACAACATTTTCGTAACAACATTTCCAATACCACAACCACACATAGCCCACTGCTCAACAACACTGAGTACGACAATAACAATAACACGGGAGTACGGCAAGTAAATCAACACAAGAATTACAGCAACACAATGAAACGGAGGAATAACCTCAACAATGAAAGAGATAACAAGTAATAATGACTTCAAATAAGAATAACTCCACAATGAGTGATAAAATGTAAATAAAAGAGGCAACAACTTCAATTAAAGCATATAAGAGTATATTCAGATGCGGATCTAGTATTTCTAGTACATGGGTGCACTACTAAAAAAAACAAATAAAAAATGCATCTAGTGAGATTTGATCCCTATACCTCTTGGACCATAACTCAACATTCATCCAAATGGACCATTCAATCTTCTTGGAGCATGGGTGCCAACATTTAATATTATACCAATTTTAAAAATATTTACATAAAATATCTAATTTTACGGAGAGACCATGGGTTCACGTGCCCCATATTTAAGCCAATAAATCCGCCCCTGAGTATATTTGACAATAAAAGATAGAACATGTACTAACAACTTCGAATAAAGCATATAAGAGTAAATCTAACAATGGAAGATATAACATGTTATGACAATTTCAATTAAATGCATAGAAGAAGCTTAAGAGTCTAAATCGGTCAAATACCACATGTAAGCCCGTGTACACATTCGTCACCTCGTGTATATATCTTCCACATAATTCAAATAACACAATCAATCCAAATCCTAAATGGTAGTTCCCCCACACAGACTTAAGCAAGATGCTTACCTCAATTAGGCCAAATCAATCCTCAAAATAGCTTTTCCCCTAAAATGCTTACCTCAACAAGAGTCCAAGGGTAGATTCCGACTACCCATAATCCCACGAGTATATATATGCGTTTTGTTTCAAATCCGAGTACAATTCGACTCTCAAATTCCAAATTCTCATTTTCAAAACATAGATAAAATTTCTCAAAATTTCACTTTGATTCTCAAAATTTGATGTTAAATCTCATATATAATCATGAAATATAGTTGGAAATTGATAAAACTATTTACCTATTGATTGTAGGTGAAAATCCCCTCTCCAAATCGCCTCCTACCGAGTCTAGGGTTCAAGGATATGAAAATGAGACAAAAATCCCGATTTCCAGCCCTTATGTTCAGGCGCAGATGTCGCAATCGACCTGCGAACCCCACAAATGTGAAGAATGATCGCACAAACGACATCCATCACAATCCTGCTAATGTCGCAAATGCGACGATTTTATTGTAAATGCGAACATGAACACTTCGCAAAAGCGACCGTTATGATTGCAAATGTGATCTAGCCCAGCCCAGGCACCCATCGCAAATACGGACCTAACAAGTCCCAACATAACTCACAAATGCGATCTCCCACCTCGCAAATGCGAACAAAAACTCGCATTTGCAAGACCTTTTAAAACAAGCAAAAATGAAACTCTTTCAAACACTCCGAAACGCGTTCGAAACTCACCCGAGCCCTCGTGGCTCCACACCAAACATCAACACAAGTCTAAAAACATCATACGAACTCTCTCGCACCATCAAAATAACATCCGGAGCCATGAATCAGACATCCAAACACATGAAATTTTACATTAAAACTCAAGAACTTCTAAAAACACAACCACATGTCCGATTCCTATCAAATCAACTCGAAATGACGCCAAACTTTACAAACAAGTTCCAAATAACATAACGGGCCTATTCCAAGTCCCAAGATCAAAATCCAAACCTGATAGCCATAAAGTCAAACCTAAGTAATTTCTAAACCTTCAAATTGTCAACTTTCGACAAAACATGCCAAATCAACCAAGAAACCTCCGAATTCAATTTCGGGCACACTTCCAAGTCAAAAATTACTATACGAACCTATCAGAGCCATCCAAACACCGTTCCAGGGTCGTTCTCATAAAAGTCAAAACTCCGGTCAACATTTCCAACTTAATCTTCTAAAATGAGAATCACTCATCCAAATCAATCCCAAAACATCCGAAAATCGAGTCCGACCATACACACAAGTCATAATACACAATATGAACCCACTCAAGACCTCGAACTACTGAACGGAATGCTAAAGCTCAAAACGACCGGTCGGGTCGTACAAGGTAAGAACCGACTAAGGTTGAAGAATCAATAGATGAGTTGTGGTTAGGGGTGATATGCCACTTAAAACTAGAGCTAGCCGGTTCTCCCCGAAATGCATTGAGGTGCAGCAATTGGCTGGACATCTAGGGGTAAAATATTATTTGGTGCGGGCCGTGAGAGTGGTACCAAATCGATGCGAACTTTCCTGTATTGTTTTTTCACTTGAGATCCGATATAAAATAATACCAGGATTAACTAATAAGTTAATTTATCAAGATTAATATAATGAAATTGAAATTGTGACCTAACATTGGATAAAATAAAGGTTATTTATATCTTGATTATCGTTACTAAAATACATCAAACCATCCCCTTATTGTTTTGTGTAGGAACTCGGGGGCGTGTGATCACAAATACTTATCACATTAGGAGTCGTCTGTTAGTCTGCAATTATTAGACCGAACTAAAAGAGGAATTAATAACTTTAACTATGAGTGCAAGAAAAATCTATCATTGTAACAACAAAGTAGTTCATTTATTGCAACCCATACATAGTTTTGATTTTTTTCGGAATACATAGTTGTCCGTTATTTCAATGCGTACAAAGCTAGAAAAATATTACTCCAGTATAATTAGATTGACATGCATTCAAAACACAATTTCTTTTCTAATTTGCTGATTGATGGCTAAACCTTCATATCAGCATTATTTTTCAGATACTCAACAATGTTTTTGATGCAGGAGTCATGAAGCTTCCTGATGTTGGGCATATTTCTATATGTTTTTGTAAGCACGTGATTTTTTCCCTATGAAAGAATGAATCCCAAAAAATTCAAAATAAAACGATTTTTCCTTTGGGTACAATTTTTGAGAATTTGCGTGATATTTTGGTAATTATTTTTGTCCGTAAATGTTTACCCTTGTTATAGTTAATTGAAAAATATAAAAATACATGGTGCATGCATATTTAGGATTTAATCATGCATTTAGGAATTAATTAAACCATCATTTCGCCCTAAAAGGGAAAAATCAGAAATACATAAATATATATACCTTTTTATTCTATTTGTTGTCTTTGAGTGATTTTGTTTTTAAGGTTTTAACTT